TGGGGAGCTCCGAGTCGTCCTCCGTGGGGGTTTTTTTTGTTGTTTTTCTTCTGTTGGAATCGGTTGCCCGCTGGAACAGCCGAGTAAGGCTCAGGGAGGCGTGAGGGTGTATGTCATCTGAAATCGAGGAAGGTGTTTGCCGAAACCAAGGCTGATGTGGAATGTAATATTCCTACAACTTAAAGTTATGTGTCGTGGAATTTCTTAAGTGAACGCTTCAAGTGTAGTGAGGCACTGTAACGTTCCGTTGTGAAAGTAAAACCGACTTAAATTTTCACATCTCTTCATTGGGAATGATAGGAAGAACAGGGTTTAAAGACTGGGGGGTTTGAGCCGGTGTTTTCTTCATACAACTATCTAGCTGAATTTAAAAATGAAATGGCATAGGGACACAGTAGCTGAGGGCAAGGACATCTAAGGAAGGTGCTAGTGCCGTACAAATTTTATTCAGTTTGTACTTGACAGCCTACTGTGAGTCAGTATTAAACTAATACCCTAAAATAGTGCTAGAAGGCACTGCTAGTGGAGGTGGTGTCTGTGGAGCAATATCTTCATAAAAGCAAAACAAAAAACCTAGTAGGGTATGCTAAATATTCTGGCTGCTTGCAATTAAATGTTCTAGCCTTCTGCGCATCTGTGGATGTGATATTTGGGGTGTCTGGGTAGACTGCTGCAACAGAGAAGAGTACTTGGCTATATAATTTCAATTATATGCTTATTGTTACTTTAATATAACTAATGTAAAATGATTGTGCACAGTAGTAGTAGTCATTAGAATAGGAACCTCTGCACTTACACTGAATGGAACTTTTTTGTTTCTACTTTTGGAGGAAAGGATACTATGAAAATGGGATTTAAGTACAATTAACCACTGAAAATGTAGTATTTAAATAAAATGCTTATTTAGTTTCTTAGTAATTTTTTTTCTCCTTGATTTTTTTCAGTACCCCAAGTGTGACCATAAAATATGATTCTTTGCCTGCTGCATGAAACTTCTTAAGTACTTCTTTTGCCATTTGGTCACTGGCTTCAACTACAATGGTAAGTTATGATTCAGATAACATATTTTTCAGATCCTTTTGCTCTAGTCTGCTAGCTGTTTGGCTGTTGAGGAGAATGCCATTAATGTTTTGCATTTTCTTAAAAAAAAAAATTTTGCTTGTCACTCCTGAGTTCTGATATTTCTTTTCAGGGATGTCTTCCTTTGTAGCTTGTTAGTACTTCTAAACACTTAGTCACTGTCCAGTGCATGGTAGGAATTATATAAAGCTAGTGGTGTGTTTTCAGTCAGGACTGGTGTTAGGCAGTTGAGTACGTATAAATCCTGCTTCCACGTAGTATTCTTCTATTCACAGGTGATAATATTGCCATGGATTTTTACCTAATGTCATGCAGTCAGTGGCTGAAATCATACAGTTATCCACTTGACATATATAGAAAGCATGAGTATTTGACAGTTTCATATAAACATCTAGACACCTGAAAATTTAAGCGTTCTGTAGTGGCAGGTTCTAATGAGTAATAGCACGTTGTTAAGTGCTTTTTTTTTTTTTCAAGAACAGGTAAGGAATTTTGTATTAGAGGCACTGTAGGTGAATGGTAAAAGGCCTGAGGCTTTTTTGCTGTATACTTCTTTGTTGTTACTGTAGTATGTTTTTCTCCCCTGAATTCTATTGTAATGTATGAAATAACTGGTACTGCCATGTATTGGACACAGCTCATGTGCCTTCTGTTCCTTGAGGTTTGAGTAAAGGTATTTGCTTTCATGAACAGCTGATAGGGATGGGTTAAACTGAGGAAACAACACAAGTATGTATGTGGGAAGAAGTACCTGTTACAAATGTTTCTAAGCTTTACTGAAGGGTGGAGGATTCTCCAAAACACTTCTGTATTTTTTGAATAGAGTGGCCTATTTAAAAGGTTCTGGCTGTGGGGATTACATATAAGTTGTTTTTTTAAGTAACAGGTTTTTTTACTGTTATTGGAGCTTGTCACCAATACATTCTTAAGGCCTTTATCCACCTACCACTGAAGTGAATGCATTAGTTCTCTTGACTTACCTGGAGTTGAATCAAGCCGTAGGTGTTCTCCTACAGGACTTCAGTTCTTAGTTTTGTGTTCTCTCTCCTCCCTGCCCCAAATCAGTTTCATTGTCTGGTTCATTTAGCAGCTGCACATTATTCCCGCACAAAGTAGGTGTCAGAGCTAAAGTAAGTGCCAGAGAAGGAAAGTTAGGGGCCAAGGGAGACTTTCTCTATTTTTTTGGCACTGATGCTTGTTTATTCTGGTTGTCAAATACTTGTCAATTTTTAGTCCAAGAACTCATTATTCTTATCGATGAAGCTCTTTGCTCTTCTTGAAATACATGTATATGAACTGCAGGTATACTGAAGTGAAAGACATTGCAAAGGAGCTAAATCCATTAAAGTAAATGCTATTGAGTATACTATGCGATGGGATATAGAGAAGCTTTTGCAGATCTTGGTGTGTCGTCTTAGGGTTGGGCACACTTCTTAGCCTGCCTTGGAGGAAATCTGGAGCCGAGGCTGTATTTGCTTCTTAGGCACCTAACAGTATGTCATAAGAAACTCTTCTCAAATTGTATTGTGCACAGAAGTAACAACATTCTGAGCACAAGATCTTCATTTCCATTTTGTAGAAAAATAACTGTACTAATACTTAGGCACCAGCTTCTGAAAGATAAATGTTTTCCTCCTGGACAACTGTTCAGGGGTACTTTGGCCTAATCTTTCAGTTGAATTAGTAGCCAGCTTAAGAAAGGAAACCAGATTTTCTAGTTGTCATTTCTAATTGTTTTGGTTAATATTTGTTGCTGCTTTTGTTGGGTGTAATTTCTATTCCTACTTTTAATTCTAATTGCCTTTTATTGTTCTAAGACTTCATAATTTAGCCAAAACCTTGCAAGCGTAGACACTTGGTAGTGGAATTAATTACTGTTCATGCAGTTACATCAGGTTTCAGCTGCTAAGTTTAGTATGTGCAAAAGAATGTTTGAGCCCATCTTCTAACTATAAATTCATATCAGTAGTAATATATGTGGCGTTTTTTATGTATGAGGATGTTTAACCAGTTAATGTAATTTCTAAAAAGCCCTTTGTAATTCTTGCAGCAACAAGCTTTAGAACTGGCATTGGATCGTGCAGAGGTAAGGAGTAGACAAGTTATTTGTTTGCATACAATATATTGGTCTCACAGTTAAAAAATAACTTGTATTTTTATATTTCTTCCAAAAAGCATGTTATGTAAATATATATGTGCGTATATAAATAACCCATACATGTAACACTGGTTTTGCAAAATTCTCACTAAAATTGCTGTGTCACATATTTGTCTCTTACCCATTGTACTGAGAACATCATCAGGTGCAACGATGATAGACTATGCAGGACTTCAGTTTTCCCCTTTTAAACCAGCAAATCTGTGTGCTGTGAAATAAGCAGAGCTGTACAGAGACAGCTGGTGGAAATACGACAAAATCCTGTTTGTATTTTTAAGGGTAGCCCAGTTAGAACAAAGAGGCAAGTGCCTTCATGTTCATGTTCTTTCATGTTGACATCTGATATAATGGTTAACTTGAACCCTTGTGTAGGAAATACGTGTTTCTGTGGGAGAACCTCTTTTCATTGAAATTCTGAACTAAGCTGTTAATCAACATACTTCAACCAAACAATAGAGGTTGGGAAAAACCTTGTTAGAATATAAGCTGCATTTAATGTAGGGTGATACCTTTCTTCTTCCTTTTTAATTCAAATATATAATATACATGAATTATATTTATAATACACAGCTCTGTAGAGAAAACAAGTGTAAATGCAAGAGACAAGGGGAAAATTAAACTTCCTGAAGTTGGTTTTGTTGGAGTACTTGCTTTGTAAATGTTGTTGAGCCAGTATGCATGAATTTGATTGTATCTTAGCATGTTAACTTCAGTAGTGTTAACTAACTATAGTAGTGTTAACTAAATATAGTAGTGTCACTACTACAGTAGTGTTATTTACTACTGTAATTAAAAAACATGAATGTGAAATCAGGACTTTGCATGCAACTCATGCCATAGCCATGAAGTGCTGTGTTTTGCAGCTAGATTGAGCTGTGTCCTTGTTGATGACTGTAACATACACCAGATCATGTTTAATATACTTTTGAAACGGTCATATACCATAACTGTTAATTGCTTTCTGTATACATAGAACACTGGTAACGATCTGAAGTTGCATGGTAGCTAGAACTAAATTTCTTTGTAATATATGTTATTTTTTTGGCTTACTTTTCTCTTCTAGTATATCATTGAAAGTGCCCGTCAGAGACCTCCCAAAAGAAAATATTTATCCAGTGGAAGGTAGTAAGAATTTCAGTATTTAGTTTTTAAATAGCATTTCTTTGATTTAATTTTGGTTACATTTTAAGCTTTTTTTAATTTCAGAAAATCTGTATTTCAAAAACTCTATGATTTATATATAGAAGAATGTGAAAAAGAGCCTGAGATAAAGGTAAGTGGAAATTGCTGAGAAGCTTTTCATTGCTGTCTAAACAGGCAGGTTCAGAAAATACTTCTTAATTTCACTTAATTCCTTTGTTAAAAAAAGAATAGACTCTGGTTACTGTAGTAGTTACATAAGGCTAAGACTACAGGAGAAATTATTATTATTATGACCTTTGTGGACTAAACTGTGTAATTAACAGCATCAACTTAGTTCAGTTCGAAATAAAAACAAGGTGATGGGAGCAGCAGTGACTACCTGGTAGCCCTAAATCTGTTTTTAAAGGTAATAAAAGTAGAATGCTGGCAGAGGTTTGTAAAGACTGTGCTCTTGAGATGCTTTTCTATATATGAAAAAAGAGAATTTCAAAAGAATGGTCTAGAATGGAGATGTGTATGTAACAAGTTTATTAGATAACAGTAATATTAAAATAACTGAGTGATATAATATGAATAGTAAGGCCTACACTGCCTTGAGTGACCTGTTCATTCTGACTTCATCCTGTGTCACTGAAGTCAATTGTGGTCAAGTTCAGGGCCAGTGTCAATGCCATGTGCGTTGTTGGCAGTATTGCTGTTTCAGAATCAATTGCTTAGCATGACTGCAATGAGGAAAAAATGCAGAGAATTTTTTTAGAATCTGTGCTTTGTTGTAAATTCGGATTTATTTCTCGGATAACTGATGAACTGCTAAGATGTTTTGTGATATTTTTTCATAAAGTTATCAAAGAAGCTCAAGCAGGCTTAGCAACAATAAATCTAAGGTGTAAGATGGTCAAGCTACTTTGCTAAACTGTGAATATGAAATGGAATGAGAAGAACAAGCTGTGGAATCTGCTGTATTCCTGCTTCCCAGGGAAGTAAAAACCAATAAGACGACATGGGAATGAGATATTAGTTACTGAGCACCTGTAATTTTTTGGTGATTCTGATGTAGTTGGTTTTATTTAGCATATGATGCTGATTCAAATGACAAATGTAAGGTGTTAAGCAAATTACAGGCTTGAAAAGATTAAAACATCAGTAGTGAATGGGTAACAAAATATTTGAGCAGGGAGAAGATTGGGCTTGCTAGACTGGAATCTGGAAAAAAAAAAAAGGACTTTAATGCAATAGGTGTTGCTAAAGTAGAAGGCACTCAGCAAACTTAACCAACTATAACAAAATTAAAGTAGTGAAGAGAGTTATCACAGTGGATGAATGGATTATTGCTGATCTAGATTTGAGTAAAAACTTAAGTTGTTCTTTATTGAAAGATTGGAAGCTTATTATGATAGAAAAACTTGTATTTAGAGCCCGTATTCACTGAGCTAGGATGTGGATAGTTAATAGCTCTCTTGGTCTTATGTTATGGATTGTAATTATTGAAAATTAGAAGCTCAAAGATCGAGGTGCAAAGGTTAGAAGATAATGCTATTGTGGAACTTCATACATGAGCATAGGACTGTTTATTTGTCTCTTAATTTGCACAATAAAGCTGAAGAAGGAAATAGTATTTTGACTAGAATTTGGCCAATGACTTGAATGTAGCCTTTAAAGGTTTTAATGTACAGAACTGTCAAAGTTTCTATTCCAGTATTGCACCATTTTGATGGTACAAGTTGTAATTATATTGTCCACTCAGCAATTTTTAAATAGACAATATTATTTTTCAGTCTTAACTTGCTCCCTTTATCTTAGCTCTTGTAATACTGCATCTTTCCCATGTTCTGGTTTTCTACCCTGCATTTACTTGGTCACTCATATCCTTGTTCTTGGTGTTCATAGGGAATACCAGATTTTCCACAGTAATTCACAAAGTACTAGTTAATTACTTGTCCTTTATTAGTCTAGTCTGCCCAGCTTCATTACTTTTCAGTGTCTCTTCTATTTGTGCATATGCACACTAGAGAGAGAACCAAGTATGCTGAGGTGATGTTCTAGAGCAATTTGTTTCATTTGGACTCTAGGGTGCAGTATTCCTCTACCTAAAAGTTGAAAGAAATAAAAATAAAAATCAAAACAGTAATTTTGGAAGCAGTGTTAAACATGAATGTGGAAACAGACCTGGTCCACGGGCTGGAGGTTCTATGCTAGGCAGGTAAATCTGAGGAGCTCCACTACCAAAAAAAAAAAAAAAAAAATTAAAAACCACTTATCAGTTGCCTATTCTCAGTTGGTGCCTTCTGACAACTGCACACAGTAGCATCATTGTGCAAGCATGAAAACATGTCAGAGTAATGAAAGTCACTTGAGTTCTGTGTTGGACTAGTGCCAAAATAATACAGCACGTAGAAGCACTTTCACAGTGAAGTAGCAGATAAGAGGGACCCTGGTAGATGTGGGGAATGAGTAATTATGAGCCATGGATAAACCAAATAGTGCCAAATAACAGTGGGGGTTTTTGTTTGTTTTGGTTGGGGTTTTTTGGTCCTTGATAAATCTTTAATGGTGATGCATGATATGCAGGGTTGGATGTATTTGGGAAATTGTATAAAATGTCGTACTGCATGCATCTTTCCGTTCTTGAAGAAAATGTAACTAACTTGCATGTGTAAGCTGAGGAAGCAATTGACTGTAAGAAGGCACTTTAAAGCAAAGCTAACCTCATTAGGGTGAAACAAGCAGACTTTGCTCAGACCACAGTATTCCCTGAAGTTTTATCTCAACAACTTACCTTAGGTGTTGCTTATGAAACTGAAATGTTTTCTGGCCTCCACTACAGAGGCTGCATGGCCCTTGTCTTTGAGCTGCATTAATACTAGTCTCTATTAGAATGGCAGCCTAAAGATTGACACAGCCAATTACATCCTAGTAGAAGTATACTTAGTTATGAGTTGCAGTCTTCTCTCAGGATCTGATTTCGGTTCAGCTAGGTCACAGACACCTTTAGGCTTCAGTTTATTCCTTGTATTTTTGTAATAAAAAAATGATGCTTCCTCAAGTTGTCTTACTGAGTTGCGTTTTATTTTGCAGTCAATATGTACAAAACTCTGCTTTGCTTTTTCTGCTTCCTGAAAGAACAATGCTTAGCATTGTTCATGAAGTTGATTTTCAAATAGTTAATAGCTCTGTTGAAGTTGAGACAAAATTGTACCTTCCAAGGTGCGTCTTTTATGCATTCGTAAAGTGGTGCTGGGATTAATGAAACGTGTCCAAAGTCGAGGGGAGAGCCTGGGGTGGTTGTTTTGGATTTCCATTTCACAGAGATATACTAAATAGCTACAAAAACTTTTTTTTATGGGGGTGATCTGTTTATTTTAAGTTTTTTGACCAACTTTTCAGTCACAAAGGTAAGTGGGAAAATCGATCTAAGGTGCTACAGTGAGGGACAAGAAAAGCAGTCACAGTAAAGATAAAATCATAGTTTTGTGTAACACCAGTGCACCATTGGAGGAGTAGATATTAAAATTAACGTTTCACTCATAGCCAAGGACGGAAGAGCAACAAACAGCGTAAAATCACTACTTCAGTCTTTTTAGGCAGGAGGGCTCAGTATTCTTTATTCAGTGGTAGCCGTCAGAAGTCACTGGAATTGAAAGGAAGCACCCGTGCCTTCTCTGTGCTGCTGCCCAGCCATCACGCAGTCACTGCGGTGCGTGTTCAGGAGGGGAGAGAGCTGCTTTTCTGTGGGTGAAGTTGGAGAGGGCTAGGAGTTTTAGCTGATGTAACAGAGCAGTATAACTGGACTGGTTGCTTGGTATCTGAACTGTGGCAATATGCTGCAATGAACGCTTAAGAAATGTAATACACCTCAGGCTGCTCTTTGATCTTTAAAACCTTTCCAGCAAGACCAGAGCTAATGCTTAATATCAGCTCCAAGCTAGTACCTCTAATAGCTAGCTCAAACAAGAAAGCTGATTTTTGTAGTCATAAAAAATCTAAATGCTTAGTGAAATGTTTGTACTTAAAATGCTAATTTACTCTAGTGTCTTGAAGAGGCTTTATATTTTAATATGTGCTTAGAATATGTCTTAAGAAGTTCAGGTCATATGAATGCAGTGTCAGACATGTTCTTATGCCTGTTTGATTGTCCTCTCTGCTTTTCTTTACGTGTCTTCCCCCCTCAACATCCTAACCTCCAAAAAAATGAAACAAGCAAAAAAACCAAACAACCCCAAGCTGTAACTGGCTATTATTGAACAAAACTTAAAAATTAAAAAATAAAACTAACATGTCATTCGCCAAATAAATTTAAATTAGAGAGTGATGTGATTAACTCAATTTAATTACATTTACAGTTGAATTACCATTATGTATTTTGCTTGTGAGGTGTTTAAGGAGCAGACACCTTCCATAAAATAAATCTCATGGCTATTTCTTGAATGCATAGACAAATTTATGGGGAAAAAAGACGAATTATTTATTTAGAAATTCTCTGAGTGGTTACTAGTTAGTATCAATTATTCAGTGCCTGTATTTTGGATCAAATAGTGCCCTTAACTGAATGATCCCTTTTCTTCAGCTCATGAAAATAGTAAAGTTGAATTAGAAATGTTAACAGTATTATTAGTAACAACTTCTAGAAGCGGTATTGATTCTGTCCCAGTGATAGGGGAATGGAATTTTTTTTAATTGCCTTCTTTTTTATTTTTAAATATAACTTTAGTATAAATAATTAATTTCTTCTTAACATAACCTGATGATCCTTTTTTAAGTCAACTCTTACAGAATTCTCATATTTCTTTCTGTCCTAATGCCATTGCATAACTAAATATAACAGTATTAATCTATCCAACACTGGGGGGGGAATACAAAAACTTTTCCATCAAAAGATGACAATATCTCAGTTTTTAGGAGAAAAGATGTCAGAGTAGTTGAGTGTTGACTTTGCTCTCAAATGGTATTTACTGTAGCTCAGGCTACTTCATACTGTGTCTAAGTGAAAGCCCCATAGCTATCTCCCCTACACGGCGATGTGTCTGCACACTGAAGCAGTGCATGTGCAGTCTCCTGTTTTGGGGGAGATGTTGGGGAAGGTTAATAGGAGCTTTAACTGAAGAAAGTTTCGCATACAGGCTGTATCTCCAGAGTCCTGTGTGAGGAATTGGCTTTCCTGAGCAGTCTCTACCTCTGTTGTTGCCATGATGTGTTTTCCCCCAATCTCCCCTGCTCCGCCAGTTCTTTCCCTGTTAATTCTCCAGGATTTATGTGCTACTTTGTCCTTTTCTTTGTGTCGGTTTCCACGATGTCTAAACTGTAAAAGCCAGTAAGATGTAGTCATCATCATTTGTGATGCATGGGGAAGAGTTAACTTTGGGCAATGGTTCTAAAACTGCATAGCAGGAGATGGAAGAGATTTTCCTTCTTTTTCTCTGCATACCTGTTAAAATGATCTGTTGGATTATATTGCTGTGGGATTTGGGGTTTTGTTTTCAGTCCTTTTCTTATAGTTCGTTCCTCTATAAGTAATAATTCTGCTTTCTATCTTATCAATATTTCTGGAAAGACAGATTTGTTCAAAAAGAGATAGCCCACTACAACTTAGGTGTATGTGAAATTAGTAGTTAGGCAGGTTTAATAGAGTGCTAGGGTTAACTTCCAATGAATGGCTCCACCCAGACCTGGTATTCAGCTATGAAATCTAGCCTCCAACCAGAAGGTGTAAAATTATCTGACGTTTAGAACTCATTGTTTTAAGTTCTAAGGGGGCTTTAAAAATATTTAGATTTGTAGGATGTTTGTAGGTCTTTGAAACATACTAATTAATTTTAAAAATCTGTTATATGTGGAAAAGATCATTCTTACAGTAAAATAAGGGAATAGTCTCTGCAGCTGCTGGATCAGATTTCAGCAAATACAGACAAGGCAACGCAATTAAGAAAACTTCCAAATGCTGTAATTCGATATTTTAATCCTGGAAATAAATAAATATCTGTTTCTGTTAGGAATATTTGAAAGTACTAAATATTTTGTTGTTGTTGTCAAACAATGTGTGGTGTATAAATGATGCTTATAGAAATGACACAAATAGTAATGCACTGTAGATTTACAACATTGTAGCATAGGGTCATTCTTGTTAACTGTGTTGTCTATGGACCTATAATTCAAGGGGGTTTTTAATTTAAATGAATGGGTTTTTTTTAATCTGTGTGTATAAGTATGTATAATAGTACATAATGTATATACTCTGCTGAATACAGCCCAATTAAATTTAACTGGGCTCGTTTAGATATATACTTCAACATTAATCTAAATAGTACTCATATTCTAGCAATTGTTTTTATTTCTACTAATTACTTGATAGTATTATGTTCATGAGCAATGTTTACTTTTAAAGCAGAAGCTGAGGCGAAATGTGAATTTACTTGAGAAGCTGGTTATGCAGGAGACGTTGTCATGTCTGGTAGTGAACCTCTATCCGGGAAATGAGGGTTATTCACTTATGCTCAGGGGAAAAAATGGCTCAGGTAATATTTTTGCTCTTTAATTTTTAACAATACTGAGAATGCTCTATAAATAGTTAGAATGTGTTGTTGCTTACATTTAACTGTTTCACTTCTAATATAATCCCTTGTGGAAAAATCAAAACAAAAAACCAAAACAACTGTACTTGAACTAAATAATTACATAAAGCTGTGAGGTGCTCAGAAATGTCTCTAACAATGCAGCATAAATCAGTAAATGGGAGTCTTTTCGATACCCTTCCATTCTCCTATTTCCACTTAGTGTCTTGAGTTGCTTATCTGTGTTTCTCTTGCTTCAGGTTCCTTCTCTCAAATTGTTTCTTTCACTGCTTCCTAAACCTAGGTCTGACTAAAGGCATCTGTGTTCCAGTTTGGTTGCACCTTCATGCCACTGGTACTATTACGTGCAATAAGAGCATACAGTACATTAGCTGGGAGCAAAAATTTTGTCCCATTGAGCTATTAAGGCATGTTGCCTTTTGGCACAATAAGAGCAAAATCCAGCTCTGGGAACAGAAATGGATGTAAAAATTAATACTATGCAAAAAATTTGACTGTGTAGGTTTCCACCAGCCCTGCTTTTTCCTGTGGCAAACTTGTTTTAGATTTCACACAGTTAAAGTTTGAACTTTAAAGGCAGAAGAAAAGCAATGTGTTTTGTTTAAATTCAGATTCTGAGACCATTCGGCTGCCTTATGAGGAAGGAGAGCTGCTTGAATATTTGGATGCAGAGGAACTACCACCTATTTTGGTTGATCTTTTAGAAAAATCTCAGGTTTGAAAGTTTTGTTTTCAAAAAGAACTTATGTTTTGTACCCAGATAGGCCTTGATTTTTTGATTGTTTCACATACGTGATTCCAACCACAAGACGTAAAACACTTGTGCATTTGGAACTGTAATATTTAGTGTCCCAAATAAGTATTTTATTGATACATAGGGGGAAAAAAAAATGGAGAGAAAGGGATAGAAGAGAGATTGTTATGGTTAAGGCTACCAAACAACTTCAGCTCTGCAAAATGTCCTTTGGTTTTTGTCATTATGAAATATTTGGCATGGGAATTTCTTAAAACTACGTTGTTGGCATATGAAAACACTACATTTGAAGCCTGTATTTTAGGTATGTCTAGGTATGTAGTAAAGAACACTGGTCTGATGAAATTGGTGATTAGTTTTATTCATAATATCACTGAATTTTATATGATATATAACAAACTCCTTTTTGGAGGCAGGGGCTGAGGCAGATTGGTAACTATTTGTTTATTTAAAAGTTGGTTCTTTTGTTTCAACTAGGTTAATATTTTTCATTGTGGATGTGTCATAGCAGAAATACGTGACTATAGGCAGTCTGGTAACATGAAATCTCCAACATACCAAAGCAAGCACATTCTTTTGCGTCCTACAATGCAGGTAAGAAGTATTTTAAGTCATTCCTCAGTGTTACGGTAGTTCCTGGACTGGATATGAACTACTACTTAACATATGTTGTTAAGATATCTTATTGTTTAAGTTGAAAGCTAATTACCATTATGTCATCTTCTTCAGACTTTAATTTGTGATGTGCATTCTATAACAAGTGACAACCACAAATGGACACAGGTGGGTTAGCAGTTATTTTAAAACTTTACAGTGAAGTGGTAAATGCACAATAAAATAAAATGTATTTAAATTATTGTTTAATAAAATCTGATAAACAAAACTGATTATATATTTTATTAATTCAGACTGACAGTGATGTTCATAGTCGTGCATGGTACACTTTCCAGAGAGCTGCTAAATTAACTTGTTAATAACATCTACCAACAAGATGCCATAGAAAACAATGGAATTTGCTAAAAGTTTTGTAGAATCAGACCTTAATTTTTGGTAATGCAGTGTGACAGTATTGGAGTTACTCTAACTAGTTTACCTCACTTCATTCATCTTCAACATACAGCCCCAGAACAGCAGTTGGAGTCTAATGACACAACTGCTCCTCTAACATTATTTTGCTATTGATACTGTTACAGTAAAGAGTATCCTAAGTAACTACCGTTGTATGTTTATAGTTAGTTAAATGCTGAATAGCGTGGTTTGCTCAATGTGCTTGCGTTTATTTCAGAGCCACAATCACGCTCAAATCCATTTCAAATTGTAATCTAAGGTCCCTGGTAGATCATCTTTATGGCACTGATTACCAGTCCATCGATATAAATCACTGCCAGAAAATGGATTTCATTGCCACTAATACTGTGTTTAAAACAAACAAACAAACAAAGAAAATACAAACAAAAAAACAGAACATGCCCCCCTACTTCTCAGAAGGATTTCTTTTTCTATTGGAGGACCCACCCAAAGCTCTGTAATTCATAATAACAGTTAGTGATACTTAACTGTTGAATATTTCCTTTTGTTGACTATTCACACACAATTTTTTTCAATTTTCTTTAAGATAATGTGCACTTATGCATAGGTATGTATCAACTTAATTAGTGTAAAACTCTTCATATTTTTACACTTATTAATAGCTGTGTATATTACAGGAGGACAAACTCCTACTTGAGAGCCAACTTATTCTGGCTACAGCAGAGCCTTTGTGTCTTGATCCTTCGATAGCAGTGACCTGTACTACAAACAGACTCCTGTACAACAAGCAGAAGATGAATACTCGTCCCATGAAACGGTAGTTTTCAGTGTGAACCATGTTGAGACTTTCTTTGAAATTTTATGACGTGTTTCAAAGAAAAATATAAGTAATGCTTTATGTGAAAATTTTGCTTCTCATATGTAAAATCTACTTAAATATTAGGAATATAAGGAACAGTCAATAAATTATATCTTGCTTTTAAGTGCTCAATATTTTACTATATTTCAATTAGTAGTAGATACTGTAATACGCTTATTTTTGTGTATCAAAAGAACATGTATATAATTCTCTTAATACCTTATATTGCAGTTTTGATGTTGTCTTTTTTTTTGGCATAATTCATATGTAAGCTGAGTCAGATGGTGGCTCAGTAATGTAAAAAATATAAATGGGTATGTTGCATATTGGTCTCTGATTTTTTAAAAGCTAGGTACAAGTTTAACCCTGAATGAGGAAATCAAGGGAATTATTTATATGCTTGTTGTTCAGGGTAAACAGAAGTGTAAGCATATTAGAATCTTAGAAAACCTAAAAGTAATGCGGAATGCGCTACATACAAAACATTGAAATTGTTTCACTTCTGTGCATGGTGGTTCACTTTTTCCACAAAAGCTTGAGATGGTTCATGTTTGTTCTACGAAAAGAGTTGCACTTGCTATGTAGAATGAAAATGTACTAATGGTCTGTCAGAATTACTGAAATATTTAAAATTTGATTTGCTTTGAAATACTATGATAATATACAACCAGTGGTAATGTCTAAAAAAACTATAAATAGTGAAATTTATCAAGTTGTCCTTAACATTAGAGCTTGGTGGTCAAAAAACATTCCACTAGAAGAATAGGTAAAGGTGTTAAATGAATGTCCAGAACAGCAGTAATGTACCAATGGGTTTGGTATGAGATGAAGAATAGAGGGTGGTTACTGTGTTTAGAACTTCAGAGTTATGTAAGCAGTACCCAGATCTTTTGACAGAACTGGAATCTGTGATAACATACTAATATTTTAAGCTTGGCAACTTCTCACTTACTCGATTTGACAATGTACTTCAATTATGCATTTCAAAAATAACCCTATTCTTAGTGCTGAAACACATGAACAGAATACTAGTATTTTTTAACAAAATACAAAATCAAGAGTTTGAGTTGTACAGTGTAATCCAGCATAGCAATTTTAAATTAATATTTCAGATGCTGTTTTTCAGCCTCAGTGTAAGTAGCATTTCCCTGCATATTTTTGTGTTCGTACACAGGCAGTGGGGAATTCCATTTTGATGATTTTACAAGCTCATCTGTCATTTTACCATAGGTGCTTCAAAAGGTACTCGAGGTCGTCTCTGAACAGACAGCAGGAAGTAGCTCACTATTCAACTCCACCTCAGCTCAGACTACTTGACTACTTACAGAAGAGAAAGGAGAGGAAAGGAGCCCAGCAGTATGACCTCAAAATTTCTAAAGCTGGAAATGTAAGTGTTCTGAGACGTAGGTGGGTATACTTCTAACTACCTGTTTAAAACATTTAAAACATTAATACTGCTTTTTCATCTTCCAGTGCGTAGATATGTGGAAACAGAACCCTTGCTACTTGACTGCACCTTCTGAAGTGGATGTAAGTCCAGTCATTACCATTAGAAATTATTAGCAATTGTATTGAACATTGTATTGTATGACTAAAGAGTATCCAGTATCAAAGAATGACCTTTAAAAAATGGGAGCGACTAACATTTAAAATTATTTTTCTGTCCTGTAAGGTATAAACACAAGCTAAACCACATTGGAATACATTGCAATTGTAACATGATAGTTTGGATGAGATAAACGGTGCAAAAAGACCTTTAGTATTGTTCATCTGTGGGTTCAGTGAGCACATATCTATTTGAAGTTGTCTAATAATATAAAAAATAGAAAAAGAAATGAGGTAAAGAAATTGTTTAAAAATAAGTCACTTCTCAACTTGTCAAAAAAGAGGAATTTCTACCATGTTATGATACTATGGGACATAATATTTTCAGTAGTTTAATTTTTTATACAGAGAATTCTAGTTGGGAATTCTTCTGATCACCCTGTGTGCATTCTTCTCTCAGGGACAGTCACATTCTTGGTTTATGGCACTGCCAAAACATGCACTACTAGCATACAGAAGGGACTCGGTAGACTAGACAAGATTGTAGCTTTGGACTTAATAGGGCTGGGAAGAGTGCACATTACACATGAAATGGTGATGCTGTAAGTTTGTACAAACCTTCTCTCTCTTTGCACTTCAACAGTGTTGTATCTGACCTAATCAGAGTCTTTAGGAGTTACTGGTATTGTGAAATTTCTTAATGATTCCACATTGCAGGCAGTGATTTCAATCTGTAGTCTTAAGCCATGTTTCACACCTTTTTGTTAAGGTTAACATAGCAAATATGGTGTAACAGAATAAATGTGAAGTTCTGGAGGTTATCCAGTTTACTTTTCCTGAATGCATAACACAAAGAGGGGACAGTATACAAAGTATCAGGCTATCCTTGTCTGTTTGTTGCACTTACTTTTTAAGACTGTCATGTTAGCCACTGTTAAAAAAAAAAAAAAGGAACTGTACTAGATTGACTTTAACTCTGGCCCAATATGACTACTGTTCTTTCTTTTCTGATACCTCCATTTTCTTTAAGGTGGAAAAATATGCCAAAGTGGAAAAGTCTATCAAGCCTGATGACTCTCAACCAACTGTCTGGCCAGCACATGTGAGTAGTTTAGACCTTTGGCCAAACTTCTCTGTCTCTAGTTAAAATGCCTCTTATTTCAACAAAATCAGAGGAATGTAAGAATAAGCTTCCCTCCCCCAATTTAATTAATCTTCCATGTGTTATATAGACACAGAAAGATTACCACAGATACTTGTAATTTCATGCAGTGCAGTATGCATGTGATCAGTCTTGTAATTTCCTCAGGTTTTTCAGAAATACAAGGAAAAGCAACTTTAATCTCCCAAGTAACGTGTGCCGTCACTGTATAGTAAAAAAAGCATAATAATTTACAGGAAGCAGTGCCCCGCTCAAGAGATTGCTTTCTTAATCAGATATTCAGATTGATGGAAAAGAGCTTCTGTTAAAATAAAAATGTTAAATTTGGAAAGAGATTAAGTAATATTAAATACCTCTTACAAAAAGCTCTTTCTGCAATGTTTAAGTTGAACCTTAAGATTTTTGGAACAAATTACATGATTTAGTAAGAAGTAGTCATTTGATATAATTAGCTATAAATAAATTCATTAACTCTTTGTAATTTTGGAGGCAAGATACTATCTTTATTAACAGCATCTATCATGATGTCTTTGTAGTTCATGTTAGCAAAAGTAATATTTTCCCATATAACTTAATCTTAATCTCTAACATTTTACTTGGAACATTTTTTTTGCATTGTCATAACTTATGTAAAACTGTTTCTATATATGTTTACCCAGTCTGCCTTTCCATATGTAACATAATTGTTTAGGGTTTGCAAAATTTTTGTATTTTTAAGAGATGATAAACTGTTTTTCCTCTCATCCCTTTAGATAACTTCCTCTCAAATCACTTTCATTTTAGATAATGCACTGCTTGATAGAGAGTATTACTTACCTTTCTTATAGAGTGTTTCCTGCTGCCTTGTATAGAACTGGCATATTTTACTAGCTGTTTCTGTTATCACTTGTTTAATACTTATTTGGTTATTTTCTTCTTTTTAGGAAATAAAAGATGATTATGTGTTTGAATGTGAAGTTGGTAATCAGCTTCAAAAAACAAAACTGACCATTTTTCAGTCTCTTGGCAATCCCTTGTACTATGGTAAAATTCAGACACTCAAAGGTGATGAGGAAAATGACAACCTATTAACTCCATCACAGTAAGTTACATTTCTTTTAAACTGTACTGTGATCTGATAGATGAAGGAAGACAAACATTACTTACCATTTTCAGTCATAAAAATACTCCAGAGCTAGAATTCGGATTTAAGAGCTTTGTGTGAAAAATTCAGCTAATGAACCTAACATTTTTTTAACAAAAAACCCAAACCAAAATGTGTTCAAGCAACTGTATCTTAAATATACTTTTATGTTAAATCTGCATGTTCTTTTACATTAAAGATATATTGGGGGGAAAAAACAACAAAAAAATGCAACCCACTCAAATTGTGGAGACACCATGAAACATGGTTAGCACTCTTTTTCAGTATTACTCATAATTTTGATTGTTCTCAAAATTTGCCTGATGCTGTGAAAACCTAAGACTTGATTATGTTATGTTTACCCTTATGCAGAGAAATTTAGGCTAAATAAACAGTGAAGAAAAACATGACATCCTCAGAAGCTTCATAATTTTGAATTGTTTTGAATCTGCTGTTGTTAGCTGTGGTTCTACAAAGATTCTCTGTTCTTGGCTCTTTGTTGTGTGTACCAGATTCTTTGCATGGAAGAACCTGTGCAGCAGAGTAGACGCAATAAATTTCATTAAGGCAAGAAGCAGTGAGCCTGAGCAAACTTTAGTTCTGTTAATGAAAGCTATTTTTATTGTCTAGTATATAATTCCTATCTTATTTTTTATTAAAATCTTAAAATCTTCTTAATACTTAGGATGTTTTATCCCTAGACTGAGCTATATACTGTTTTTTTTCCATCCTGTTATGGTTTAACCCCAGCTGGAAACGAAGCACCACATGGCCACTCTCTCGCTCCCTGCCCCCCTGCGGTGGGATCAGGGAGAGAGTGGGAAGGGTAAAAGTGAGAAAACTTGTGGGCTGAGATAAAGACAGCTTAATAGGCAAAGCAAAAGCCACACACGCAAGGAAAGCAAACCAAGGAATTCATTCCCTGCTTTCCACGGGCAGGCAGGTGTTCAGCCATCTCCAGGACAGCAGGGCTCCATCACGCCTAACGGTGACTTGGGAAGACAAACGCCATCGCTCCAAACGTCCCCCCCTTCCTTCTTCTTCCCCCAGCTTTATATACTGCACATGATGTCATATGGTCTGGAATATCCCCCGGGTCAGTCGGGGTCAGCTGTCCTGGCTGTGTCCCCCCCAACTCCTTGTGCCCCCCCCAGCCTGCTCACTGGTGGGGTGGGGGGAGAAGCAGAAAAGCCCTTGGCTCTGTGTAAGCACTGCTCAGCAGTAACAAAAACATCCCTGTGTTATCAACGCTCTTTTCAGCACAAATCCAAAACACAGCCCCATGCTAGCTACTGTGGAGAGAATTAACTCTACTCCAGTCAAAACCAGCACACGTACTTAGTACTGATCTTCCTAGAACAGCAGTGCTAGCTTACAGTTGTGTAATAAGGCTGGGAACTAAAAAGATTTATAGGTGCTAGATACCTGGTGTTTTTTGGAAATCACTGCTCTAGTCCATTATTGTTAAGACATTGCCAGTTAAAGTTCATCAAAGTTTGGATACTTCCTCCTTAGAAAAGTATGTCATATGAAGTGAAAGGTGCAGAAGACGTTTTTGTTGTTCTGCTGTAAAATAAAACAATGATTTATTTTTTTTGAGCTAGAGAATCAGAGGTCTGTAGTGTTTACAAAAAAAAAAAATCACTGAAGTAATAAGTTTGCAAGCCACAGGTATTATGCAAAAGAGAAATGCTTATTTAGGAGTTCTGGAAAATCATGAGGGATCAGAATTTGCGTAAGTGAAATCAAACAATGGAAACTAAGTGTTTCTTAAAATATTACAGATAGGGCTGGTTATGACACTTAGGTTTATATTTCAGCGTTAGGATATTGATATGTTGATTTATATGTAACTTTTCTCTTGTACTTTTTACAGTAGCAATTCTGTAGCAGTTACTTCCATTATTTGAAAGTAAAAAATGCAAAACTTTCATATTCTGCCTCTTAATTTGTAGGTAATTTACTCTTAAAGGAGACCATATTAGACCATGTGTGTATATTGTATATATAGTTATGAAGCCAAGTTTGTATTTCAAGTACTAAATAATACCCAGTCTGTTAAATGGATATGTTATCTCTTGTATTTTCAGCAGGTCTGAAAAAAAGAGCAGCATTGACATTCGTTCAAAGTTTTTTGTGATTATAAAAATATGTTCTTTTAGTCCAATTAATGACTGAAAATGTATTATACGTTTTATATTTTAGGTTCCTTATTGGTTCGAAGACTGATGCTGAAAGGTAAATTAATATAGTATGTACAACCATTTGGCTTGATGTCAAATAATGAATTTTGTTCCTTTTAGCCATTATGACTGCTAATGTTATGGATGCAGGTGCAGAACAGATGAGGAAAATAAGAGGAATTAATCATCATAACAAGAATTAGGATATAGTGTGCAGTTTCTATATTTGACAAGCAAGGAAGAATAGAGGAAAGCAAGTATGTCAATACAGTTTATCCCACTATCTAAATTTGAAGTGTGTTGTTTCAGTTATTTGCACAATTTTTCTTGATTGCACAGGTAGTAATAAAATTCTGAGAGCACTTAGCAGGAATTTCATCTTGACATTTTGTATGGTAAATTGGCAATCACAGAAATTGTTCATTTGAACTTTAAGTGTAATCTAGGACTTCGATATATGCAACTTATTTTTGTGTGTTGCGCATTACTTGATTCAGCTTTCTCAGAGAAGCAAGTAACAAAACAGTTTTCCACTATATTTTAGTTGTAGAATGATTATGAGTAGCAATTCTGGGATAACTGTAAGTATTTCTCCAGATGTTTGTCAATGCACATCACATTAGATAGCTGTGTTTCTATGAAGGTTTTGTGCCTTTGTAGGAGACTTTGAGGTGACGTACATGCCATAGCTCTTACTCTACTACACCCTCTTCTTATGTGCCTGGCAGAGAGATGAGTCCTTGATTTGGTCAAAAATCAGTAATCATGTTCTTTGTTCCAATAGATAACTTTGATCAAGCAAGTCTTTGCTTATATTCTCTCCTGCCTCCTTTGTGCTGATAGATACTTTTGCTGTTTGTGCTGTAAGCTGAATTGGGGGATTGCTTGGCTGAAAACTAAAACAACAATAATGGAGGGGTCTAGTTTTTAACTGGGATTGATTTCCTGATCATGTTTCTTGCTGGGTTGCACAAATCCTTCTATCAGAATAAGCAGTTGGGTTTCAGGGACTAGGACAAGAAGAAACAGCAGAGGAGGAAGGAGGGCAGGACCACCTTTTTGAGTACATAGTGTTTTAATACTCTGATTTCACTGTAACTTTAAGGCAGTCTAATTGCTGAAAAAAGTATACTGCACCCTTTCCTCTGCCATGTATCCTGGGGCCCTTGCTTATGTCTGCATTAGTCATGTAACAGCATGTTTAATTAGTGCTGCACCAAAATAAAGTGTAGATCAACGCATTTAGGTGTAAGCTAATCGAAATGTTCCAGCAGTTTTTCGTTGAGGATCGGTCTGCTTGAGTTTAAGTGACAACAGGTCTTCAGCTTGATTTTCAAGTCTGCAAGGTCACTTTGTATATTCTGCTCATGTTTGTGAAGTATTCCCTCAACTTAGTTCTCTCAGATTAGTTGACATGTAGTATTTGATTTGGTAGAACAGTATTTTAAAATTGTTTGCCTGATGCTATTGATCCTTTAAATTCCTGGATACATCACTGCTCATTAGTCTTATAGAATAAGACCTGGCTGTCCTGGTGCTCAAAGAGTGATGACTTTTTGCTGTGATGACTGGTTCTTGGATGTACATTCAGTATGGACCGCTTAGTTCAGCCCTTGCTTTCAGAGTCCTCATCTGACATGGACCTCAAGTTAAAGGAGGGTCGACTGTTCCACAGGGAGCATAAGCAGAGGACACAGCTTTAGAAAAGATTCTGGACCCCTGTGAAGGGAATGGGATTCCCATTGACTGACATCCCAAAGAACTGCAGTTGCTTTTGGGAAGGGAACTGTTCTGTCTACTGTTTTGCACAATTCATCCAAAAGTGTTTATTAAACTTGTTTCTTAAACTGTATTTTGTATTAGAAAAAGACAGTGGTTAAAAGAAAAGTTAAACAGGAATAAATCTAAGAAGAGACCAGGAACATAAAGTAGAAAGATACATAGAGATATAGATATGTTTTATATATGTGCATCTCTATTTTATATAGATACTTATGTATGAAATACATGACTATGTAACGTATACAATTATGTGTTTACACGTACGTATCTACTTTAGAAGTTCAAAGTTCTTAATCCCTTTATGTCCTCATTGTTTGTTTCAGAGTGGTGAACCAGTATCAGGAGTTAGTACAAAGTGAAGCTAAATGTCCTGTGAAAATGTTTCATAATTCAGGTGGATCAGTCAATCTTAGTCATCTTTCTCCAGGGAAGGAAATGGAAGTGAGTTTGAGCCATACATTTTTTTTTATTTGCACTTGATTATTGAATTATTAGAATAATTTTTGCTATCCACATTTAAAAGTAAAATAACCTAAAAATTTCATTCTGAATGAACTTTTAAATGCTTTATTGTCATAATCATTCAATGTGAGTATATTGGAAAAGCTAGAGGAAAGCACTTTTATTTTCATTGTTCAAATGTTGTGTATTTTAGCCATGTCTCTTCCCCCTGCTGTGTATAGTTTAGTTAGCTCCAAGGTTGTTTTGTAGCATTTTCCCCTGTTCAGATGAACCTTGCACAGAGCAGTACAGTACACAATGCAGCTATGCATTTTATTTTACAGGTCAGTAAACATAGAAGCAGATGTAGTAGCTGAACTTCTCTTCTTTTACTGTTAGAAATAATTAAAATTTTCTCTTGAATTTGAAGAGGAAATTTAAAAAAAAAAAACCCAAAAACCAAAAAACAAACAAACAGAAACAAATCCACACCAAAAAAACAACACCAAAAACTTTAATGTGCCTATGTTTGCATGCACGCGTCCAGCAGAAATTCCTGCATTGCCATGTTCTCATGCCTGTTGGCATTGCCTGCTTGTTTCTTCTGGCTTTCTTGGTCAGATTCAGTACTCAGTGTTGACCTGTATTTAGGCTCCAACTGGCAAATTAATTTTGTATCCATTGGGCTATTTCCTGTGCTACATCTTTCCCCTAAATACCTACTGTTAAACTGCAACAACATTGTTCTGAAAGAGGTAGTTCTTGGTATCTGCCAGAAGAACAGCATGCAGAGGCCAGCAGTTGCAGAAAGCAATATGCACGTTTCTGTATGTTTGTATACATGTGCAGATATATGCATGCACATGTGTGTATATATATGTATATGCGTGCGTGTGTGTGTATATATATTAAAATTGTAGAATAACTTAAGGTGGGAGGGTACTTCTGGAAGTCATCTTGTCTGGCTGTCCAAGCCCCCACTGAAAGCTGGATGAAAGTTACTCAGGTTACTGTATTTAATGATCTAGTCCCCCTTTGAATGGGGCATTAGTCTTTATTTTCAGAATGATGAAAGCAGATTTTAATAGTAGAAGAGAAAGACAGCCCTCAATTTTCTTCAAAAGTTTCTTTTTTTATAAGCAAGCAATTAAAAGCTTGTAGAGGGTGTGTCTCTTATTACTGAGAATCAGTGGAAGCTCAGCTCTCCAAAAAGGTTGATTTCTGCATAATCCTGAATGCTCCGATTTGTTAGCCCATGCACATCTGATTTTGGCTCCTGCATTGAAGTATTCCATTCACTATATTGACAGCCTCATTTTCTAGTTTCAGCAGTTTGTGGACTGTATGTTTTAGGCGTTACTTTCATTTATGGGATACCTGCTTTGTAGGTAAAAAGATATAGACCATAACTGTAAACATGTTTCACTGTTGAGTCTTCTGACGGTGTCGGCTATTGGAATTATGGATTTAGGGTATGTTGTGAGTGGCTGAGAACTACAGACTTGATTAGCTGAAGTTAATTTGCGTTCAAACAGCCTTATAAGTAGGCTATAAGAACAAACAAGAAGGGAGCACCTTTCCTCTAAAAAGATTAGTGAAGTTCTGATCCCACTGCAGTCAATGGGAAAATGTGTATTGATTTCTGTGCATTCAGGATTTTCCTGAATGTATTTAAATTCCTGTTCCCAGAACCAGGAAGTCTGATCCTGTTCTTTAAATCCATCTTGGTTGGAAATGGCAGATATATACAGATGGTAAATGAATGAAATTATGTAATTTTTCAAGTAAGACCAAATTGTCCTTTTATTTAAAGTGCATCTGTCACTCTTGCATTCGTGAAAATTACCGAGAAGGATGTCACAATTGTGGAGACAAGTGAAACTCCTTACATTTTTTTAATTTTTTTTTTGCTTGGTTTAAATTTTACCAGCATTTGCAAGCTGCTGCTTGATGGTAACCATTTTATCTCAAGAGACTTGGTCATAGGTTATGTTTTTAAAATAAATAAATAAAAATCTGAAATGTTTGAAGATAACTTTGTAACAGTCTTGAAGTCTAATACAAATTAATTGAATTGTCTTTTCTGTCAAATATGTGGAAGCTCACATTATTGCTGTGGTAGTGTTAATTTCTCTTTCCTCCTAGCAGCCAGAAAGTATATCAGGCTCTGTTCAGTCTTCAGTATTGGGGAAAGGTGTAAAACACCGACCTCCTCCAATCAAATTACCTTCAAGTTCAGGAAGTAGCTCTTCAGGTAATTATTTATTGACTCAGGCGTCTCCTTTTTATGTGTTCTGCCTGTTGTAAAATTACATGATATCCCTTTAGTAAAGATTTAATTTAAAAAATCAGTATCTTATATGTGAAGAGAGTATTTTTTTTATTTCTGATTATATTGTTCACAAAATTGTATCCTAACAAATATTCAAGTTAACATGTACTCACAGAACAATAATGTATTTTAATTATGTTTTTTCAGGTAATATTTTTAGTCCACAACAGTCAAGTGGCCATCTAAAATCCCCAACGCCTCCTCCTCCTCCTTCCTCTAAGCCTCCTGGTCTTTCTCGGAAACAATCTATGGATCTTAATCAAGTTAGCATGCTCTCTCCAGCTGCCATGTCTCCTGCGAGCTCTTCACAAAGTGAGTCACGACCTAAATTCTCCATTAAATCTTAGGCTTTTGCATAAATGCTTCCCGAGATAAACTTCTTAACCTGTGGAATGATGAAACTTAAGTGTATAGTGTACCCTAAATTGTATAAGTTGTGCAGCTCTAGGCAGGTCTCTTGTTCACTGTATGTATTTTATGTTTATTGTAACTGTGTTCGTTTTTTCTGTATATATGTATGCACCCTCTGTGTATACGTTTTAATACCTTTTATGCAATTAGTATGATCTCCTCATTTCTGAAAGGCTGGTAGATGATGTGATGAGATAAAATTCCAAAGTGTAGATTTTTTTTCCTCCAGTGTAAAAACAGTATGTTAGATCAGTTTGCCTTTACATAATTTAAGCATCTGGTTTTTTAAATGTTATAGGAGCTGGTGCAGTTGTATCTCTATGTATGTATATAATCTGATCAGTCCCAAGGTGGTGATACAATAAACGATAAGATGATTTTTTTAAAACACTCCTACACTGTTTTACAAATCATTGCTGATTGCAAGTGTGGTGGTGATGCTGGTGATGATAGCACCATATTCTCAGGTGTTAATGTAAATTTCAATAATAAGTGTCATCCTAGTTTAAGTATTTTCATTAACACTGACAGGATCATTGTAATCATAGCTATAGACCATAAACATTTTTAAAAATATGTATGCGTCTTGAGACATGTCGTGAACAGATTTGTACAAAGAGAAGTCATAGCTGCAGTTTTTCATTTTTTTATGAATAATTGTATACTGCACATTCCAGTATCCTGCACAGTATTATGCTTTTTGCATTAAATAATTTAAAATCTGGATAGCTCAAAAGGTGTAACTTTTCTGCCTTCTTGTTTTGCACAAAGAAAAAAAGAAAACTTATAAAAGTTTTCTTCTAACATATTTACTGTGTTTTTATGTTAGTGCTATGAATTGTGTAAATCTGCTGCACACAGTTGTTACTTTAAGGGTCTGGTCACAACAGCTGGACATCCACATTTATTTCCTTTCTTTCTGCAGGACATGAAAGCTAAAAAAAAAAAAAAGAAAAATAAAGAAACACCTCAAGCTTTTGGGGGTTTCTGTTTTGTTTTTCTATTGATGACTGTGCTTACTGCATCCACAACAAATATAGCTATACATGCTACATTTAAGCAGAAGGAATTACACAGCAACTTTTAAAGATGCAGTATTATCCTCTGGTTCTCAAATATTAAAAAAAATATTTTTATTTGATCAAAATTTGGCAAATGGGAGCTTAGCTATCTGAAATTTAGATTAACCTCATCATTATTGAGATAGTATGTGTTCTTTGTTGAATCTGTTGTTTTCCATGATATGTTTTTAACACGATGCTATTGTGCAGGCAGTGCATCTAGACTATATGTTTAACATTTTAGGGAAAACATTAATTAGGTTAAACTGGTCACTAAGAAATTGTTTTACTTTGATTTAAGTATTTCTGAATGGAGTCGTGACTCAATGTATGATAAATTATGGAAGGACTTAATGGAGGATACAAACCGGTGTATGGCTTAAGGAATTAACCATGGAGAATGGGTTTTCTGTGTGATTATACTGCATCCTTAACAAGGACCGTGTGCTGCAGCACTCGTGTCGTGTAGATATTAACACTTGCAGCCTAAAAAGTGGAACAAATTGTCAGTGCTAAATAAGATTCCATTAACCTTATTATACCAAAAGGACTGGCCTTTTATAACAAACTAGCACTTTTTATTTTTCTCAATGAGCAGGGTCTGGAACTCCTAAACCATCTACTCCTACTCCAACCAACACCCCTTCATCGACCCCACACCCTCCTGATGCTCAGAGCTCAACTCCTATTACCCCTTCTGCCACCCCTACTCCCCAAGATTCAGGCTTCACCCCTCAGCCCACTTTGTTAACCCCGTTTGCTCAGCAGCAAATGTCTCTGAGCCAGGCACTGCCTGTAATGACTATTCCTCTTTCCACCATGGTAACATCCATTACTACAGGAACAACCTCCACCCAGGTCATGGCAAACCCTGCAGGACTTAACTTCATCAATGTAGTGGGCTCTGTGTGGTAAGTTTTTTTTGTTGTGATGGTTTCTTAATTTGCCCTGGGTGGGTTGGTTGTTGGGGCGGTGCGGTGGGGAGAGTGGGAGTGGTACAGGACTGTCCAGCATCCATTAGGATAGATATTTTTCAGGATCTGCAATACAAAAAGATCATTCCCTTTGTAATTATGAAGTGATGAGCCACCAGAAACTACCTGTATTTCTCAAATATAAGGCATCTGCTATCAGAATATTGGAAAGGTCTATTAAAGACCTTTATTGCTTTCAGCTTTTTGGATGCATACATTTTAATTTCATAAGGCTTAACATCAGTTTAAGTGATTTCTGAGGTTTTGCCCTTTAAGTTTGAAAACATTTTTTGTTAATCAGAGAGGAGGTGGAATATCATATGCAGAACACTCTAAATGAAAAATGGAAAGAGATTTGATATTAAGGTGTCTGTGAATGAAAGGTTATATGTAAAATACAAGAAAACAACAAATCCGTTTTCTAACAATTTAATCAAACATTGAGGTTAAACATTATTTGATTCTTAAAACTCATTTTGTGGTTTAAAAAAAATAAATGCTGCTGTCAAGAATAGATTGTGTGGTATAACATGAACTGCTTTTTAGGCTAAATGAAATTGTGATCAATATAAGATGGTCAGTGCAAGACACATAGTGCGCTTCAATGCAAGTGTCAGACACTTGAGTTACTCATCCAAGGTCTTCAGCAGTTGATCACTATTGATTAATTAGATTTTTTTTAATGGTGCAAAAAGAAAACACAAACCTGTTCCTTAACTTTTTGTTATGATAGTACAACTGTTTTGAAGACTGTTGATCTTTCAGTATTCCTAGAATAAAAAAAAAATTGTGTTTTATTTTCCATAGATTATACCCAAGAAAAAAACATGTATTTGCCGAGAATGTGGATTTATGTATTTGTTATGCCCTAGGCATAACAATTTTTAAAGCTGCCTTGATGCTTTATCCATAATCCCATTTACAGCAAACAATTGATTTACTCATCATGAGACAGAGGGCAAAAATTTATTTACTTACATTTACTTGTACCACTTGGGTTTGATGTGTTGTCTTTCCTCTTCTACAGTGGAGCACAGACACTGATGAGTGGTTCAAACCCTATGTTGGGGTGCAACACTGGTGCCATAGCCCCTGCAGGTATAAATCTGAGTGGCATTTTACCATCAGGTCTGGTACCAAGTGCGCTGCCTGCTGCAATGCAGTCTGCCTCTCAAGCAGGTTAGTGTGAATAAGTTGAAAAGCCACCCTTCAGATAGGGACAGTGTGAAAACATACTGTGAGAACAATGGACGAAAGTGGCCATTGTGTGAATAGGTTGTGTATTGTTGATGGCTGGAGCTCAGGAACAACATGCGTATTTTTGCATTCAAAGTGTAGGCTATGTTTGAGATTGTTTGTTTGATTTTTTTTTTTTTTTTTTTTTTGAGGAGCTAGACTGGGGAAACTTACTCTCAACCTAGATTGTTTGGTATGCACAGTAGGAATTTTGAGAGAAACTCTAAATTCAAATGCAACTTTGATAATGATGACTGCCAGAAAAAAAGGCATGACTGAATGTAGAAAGAGGCCTCACTTTTTAAATGTGCAGGGCATTTTATTCTGTCACTGGTACTGCTTTATTCTAGTAGGACAATTAATTAGTTCCTTATTGCCTTCAAATATATCTATATAAATCTGTGTGCCTCAGTATTCATTAAAGCAGGATTTAAATTCTTAGTTTATTTTTTCTGAACATATAATAAAGAAAAAAACCCTAATGTATGGTTATGGAATCAGAATGATAGAAGAGACTTCAAGATTTCCATCCCTTACACTGAGACAGTCGAATCTATCTAAACCATACTGAACCAATGTTTATCCAAACTGTCTTTAAATACCTTCACTAAAGATTCCCATCTTCCTTGGTAGCTGTTTGGAGTAGTTCATTATCTGTACAAAATGTTTCTTCCTAATTACAATGCATCTCCTTAATTGCGAATTAAATTATTTTTTTTCTCCTATTCCTTGAAGACATGAAAAATAGTTGTTCACCCTTTCTCTTTACCTTCTAAGTATCAAACATGCTGTCATGTCCCACATTTGTCTTCTCTTTCTGATAGGTCGTATTTTTCAAACCTTTCATAATCCTGTCACTCTCTTCTAGACTGTCCAATTTGCTTACATCCTTCTTAAAATGTGATAACCAAAACTGGACACAAGCCTGAGCTTGGCTGATTTACCACTGTGGAGCACAGCAGAATAAATGCATCTCATCTCTTTCACAACATGCCTGTTAACATTTCCCCAAATGAGGTCTGCCTATTTTTTATCTGTATTTTTTGCAACAGCATTACATTAACATAAGAATGGCTTTACTGGTTTAGGCCAAAATCCATCCAGTTTATATTCTGTCCCTGACAGTTGCAGCTAGAGGATACTTAGGAGAGAGTTTAAGATGAGGCAAAAGTGTGAAGTGAAACATCCCTTGTATGCAAGTGTACCTCTTCTGGCAATCTGCAGCTTTGAGACTTTCTCAGCTGAAGACTATCCGCGTGGATCTTTATGCTTAATGTCCCATGCTAGACTTCTAGTCTGTGGATTTATCTAATTGGGTTTTGAACCTGTTCATATTTTTGGAATCTATGGCATCTTTTGACAGTGAGTTTTATAAATGTAAATTGTGTGAAGAGGTTCTTTTCTTTTGTGTGTTCTGTAGTTTGTGATATGGATGACTTGGATATGTTTGTGACCTACTGTAACTTCTCATGTCCTTTCTTGCTGTATAGACACAAAGCTAGTTACTCACAATTTTATACTTGTTCGTTTGTCTTTTTTTAGTTCTATGTTGTTGAATTTTGGACCCTTTCTTCGATTCACTAGGATTGCTTTTAATTCTGATTCTGTCCTTTCAAGCACTGTCAACCTTTACCAGTTCGGTGTCACAGATTTTTACGTGCAATGCTGCCGCCTACATAACAGATGGGAGTAGTGAGCTGAGCTAGGTCCGTGGAAAGCCTCTGGGGGTTCTGTTTGACAGCCACTGTTTTACTGGAGCGTTTGTACTGGTCCTATATCCACCTCAGAGCTTACTACACGTACATCTTCTTTTAGCATAGCTTTGAAGAGTGCCATGTGGAATAATGCCAAAAGCTCTAGAAGTCAGATGTCTTGCCAGAAGCCCTTGGGGGGGTGGGCAGTTGCTGAGATTTTTGGGTGGGATTGTTTTCTGTTAATGATTGAGAAACTGAGAGCCTGTTACTTCATTGAGCCCTTGGACATTTCTGGATTTACTGTACAAACAGTAAAACTTTTTAAAGCCAAAAGAATCACTGAAGAATAACTGCTGTGATATTATCCACATTCACCTTTGTGTAAATGCATTAACAGGTTATAGGTTACAGGGTACAGTGTTTAGTAGCGATACAGATTTCTTTCTGTTTAGTCAGCTCTCTTTAACTTTGAATCTGGATAATTATGAACTTACCAACATTATGGAAAATGCAGCATTGTATTAAGTATAAAATTTACACTTGCCATTTTTCCAACTTCCAAATGTTTAGAAATAATCCCAGTGGAAAGGTGTATTAATTGCAATACACATATATAATTAAGTAAAGACTTCCTACTAATAAAAAGATGTTTTCTTTAACAGGCAGCCCCTTTGGTTTGAAAAATGCATCAAATCTTCGGCCCTTAAATCTTCTACAGGTAATTGATACACTTGGACACAATAATAATGATAATTTCTTATATTTCTTTAGAGATATGTTTAGTGCTGCTTACTGCATTGCCCCCCACAGATCTTTGAAGCCAGTTGATCAGACAGACCCTTTACTGCAAATTTTAATTGCTTATTTAAAATGCTTGGAATAAGAGAAAAAGCTACTTCCATAAAGAAATCAGGTGGAAATTATATTCCTAGCTCACAACAAAGCAGCTAGTTCTCAGTAACAATCTAAAAATGCAGACATTTGAATTCAAGAGATTAATCCTAAAATACAAACTTCTATTTTCAGGATTTGCTTAAGCTTTTATTGCAAATCATTCTTTAAACTGAAGTTATTATTTTAGAAGTACGAAACAGTACAGTAGAATCACTCGGGTTACACATATAACGCTTAAAAGTCGAGCTCAACATGCACAGGTAGGTGCAATAATGGCTTTAAAGAGCTTCTGGTAATGCAAATAGAAGTTCATGTAAGATAGGGAGTTTAGAAGGTCTGTAAATGTTTTCTTTCCACTAAGCATACATACAGATACAAACATGCGCAAAAGTTGCTTATTGTCAGAGCTCCATCTAAAAGCAGAACAGGGAGTGTTTGTGGAACCATCTGGAGTTCCTGGATCTTGAAGTCAGCTGCAAGTTACAGGTGTGGAATTGCAGCTTCAGTGTTCCACAGATGTTGCACCATGCTTCAAAAAATTAATACCAGTAAAAGATCAGCTGTAGCTTTGCTACTTCCTCCTCCAACTTCTGTACACACTCCAGAAACATGGAAAAGGGCAGGCACAGGAGGCAGTTATGCCAGAGTAGAGCTTTTCTATAAAATTAAATCACACAAATACAACCTTTCAAGCTACCTCTGCCATTCATATAAGCCAAGAATAGTTTGGCTGAAATCAGTGCAATTAAAGCTGGGGTAAGGGAGAGGAATCAAGACTTGTTTCATGTTTTTCTGCATCAGACCTTGCAGCTTGTTGATGGGAAGCATCTATTAAAATTCAGTGGAATATTTTGAAAGTGAAAATAATGTACAGTGCTTTTGAAGACTAGCCTTTACAATTCCAGTATCAGTACAATCTCTACTATTTTAATTAGAATAATAAAAATGTATTTTCCTGTGGAAATACCTTGCTATAATTTAATGCAGGTTTGTTTTCTGAGCATAAGGCTTTTTCACAAACAACAGCAATTGTAAACTGATTCATTTTAAAGGATTTAAACAAACAAACAAAAAAACCTCCAAGGAGGAGGTCATTATCGATGTCATGTTCATCCTCGGACAGTGGGGAAACTCAGCAGTGTGGTTGAAGTGTGCTTTTTGTTTTAATCTTCAACAGCTTCCAGGTGGTTCATGTATTTTTAACCCACTCCAGCAGGAGCAGCAGCTGTCACAGTTTTCTCCACAGCCACAATCTCAGCAGCCTACAACCTGTAGGCCTCAGCAACAGGGAGAACAGGTCTGTGCTAACAGCCCTCAGTCTGGGGTGCGTGGATGAAAGTTTCTCTTATTCTCCCCATCTCCACAAGTAAATGAGCCTTTACCCAACAGATGTGAAGCAGAAGGGGAGGGAAGTCTTCCTGCAAAACCTTCTCAAACTGCGGAGACTGCAGTGGCTTTGTTGCCATGGCTGGAGCCTGGGTTATACTCCTTTATTTATATCCTGTATAGAAGAGCTGTAACAAAACAACTGGCTAACCATTGTCTAACTCTAGCATGAAGAGAGCCAGCCCACTGTACAAGTGGTGTAAAATCAGCTTAGTGTTGTCCTGTTTGTCATAACTAGCAGATACATCAGGTGAACGGAGAAAAAACACAGTCCACATTACTGCATAGTAACTAAAACTTCTTACACTGCTGTTAGTTGCCTTATGATCCTCACTGCTGTAGTTCAGCAGAATTGTTCTCTTTGCACCAGAGAAAGTATCAGTTGGCTTTAAAGCTGTAATCTTAGAACATTTGCTCTACTGCTGCCTGCAATTAGTGTTAAAGGCTTTAATCACTGAAGGAAGTCTAGTCTTGATAGAGACCAATCTGTCTGTTCTCAAAACGACAGATTTTGAGTGGTTGGTTCTGCCTGCGCCTAAAAATCTTTAGCAGCACAAATGCAGCAATTTGGGAAAACCAGCTGCTCTGCTTTTGTGTTCTTTATCTTTTGTTTTCCCAGACATGCAAGACTTCTGTTTACCAAATAGTCTCTACTGGATACTCAGTTTGTCCTAACAATTTTGCTTGTGCTACTGTAGGCTGTCCATAAATAAGATGCCTCTTTCGAATGTTTTTATGGTGTATAGTCTCCTGTGTCACAGGCCTTGTTCTGGAATGCAGGACAGTTTAATGGGAAACTTTCAGATTTGTTCTCAGAATCCAAGTGTCAGTTACTAGTTGAATTGCTAAAAAAAGTCATGCACACCTGTACTATTGGGTTTTATTTTCTAGACATTGAACTTCAAGGGTGTTTACAAAAGGGCTGACGTAAGCCTACTCCTTCTTGTGGCAAAAAGTTCTTCTGGAGGAAATCAATCTCTGCATTGGCTAACTTGCCCTAAGGAACTTCTCTCTTACCACACTTTATAGACCAGGGTCATTAGCTAAAATGAGCTATTAGGAATACTAGATTCCTTAGCTTTCACTAAGGACAAGAACGTATGCGTTCACAGTGCTGTAATCCAAGTGCTTAGTGGAAAAAACCCAAGCCCAAAAAGACCCAAAATTTTCTGTGCTGCCAACAGAATATACACATTCTTGTCTCATACTTAGGGTTTTCCCCCAAGTGTTGGTTCTATGACTTTTTAAGTCTTCCTTAGTCATCTTCATTGAGATGTCATCATCTTTTTAATGTGCTTGGTCAAGTTTACCTAGATCTTAGTGGCATTATTTCATATGGTTATTCTAAAGAAGCATTGCAACTCCTGGAAATGCAGCAGCTCAAAAGCTGTTCTTTTGCGGTTTTTTTCTTTTGTTTTTTTTTTTTTCCTGACTAATAAGCCATGCAGTTTGCTTGAATTACATAATAACACTTTCTTTCCCCACCTTATGAATCAATGTATAATTTAAGTTCTAGAAGAGGTCATAATTCAGTACCCTTTGACGTCAGTGGACACTAGATCAGACTCCACGAATTCCACTTGAGTGACTACTGTGAGAACTACTCTGTTCTGAAAATAAGATTTTAAAAGCAGGGTTTGTATTTTTTATGAAATTAAGGAGTGTGTGGCACAATATGAGCATGTGAATGTAAGTTTCAGACTTCTCACATTTTGACTGATGAGGACTTTGCACATGGATGGTTTCAGGTGTCACCTGAAGTCTGTGGGGTTGGGAGTGGGACAGGAAACTGTCCTAAGATTACAACCATCAGCTGTACTCTCTGCTGACTGCAGGGAAGTTGACAAATACATGGGACTTCTGCTGGGTAACGGGCACAATACCATTTCTGCCAAAACAGAGCTGTTTTGGGGCATTCGACATCTGTTCCACTTTAATAGTGACTACATTGTAGCTTGTATCTACGCACACTGGAAGATGTAGAATTAAATGGTTTTAAATGGCACTTCAAAAGTTTGCCTTTACACTGGCTTTATTTACTTATTCATTGATACCAAAGTTTGGTAATAAGGATCAAGCTTTTCATTTTTGCTAGGGGTCTGACCAAGGTCCATCCAATCAAGATCAGGCATTATCTGCCCAACAAGCTGCTGTAATTAACCTGACTGGAGTAGGGAATTTTATGCAGCCTCAAGCCACAGGTATGTGCTTGCTGAGCCTCCTTTTGTAGTTACATGTGTATGTTGATAAATTCACACTGAAATGAAGTTTGGTCTTAAAGTAGTCTTACATTAGATCAAAACAACTTAACTATTTATTATCGGCACATGAATTATACAAGAAACGCTGGACTTCCAAAGCACGCGCTTTTCTGCTTTGTTTGGCAGTTAAGTGTAGTAAATCCATAATACCACGTGAAAATAAGTCACACTTGATACAAAAAGCAAACACAGGTAATTTCCATGCCAGACTTCATTGAGGAATGTTTCTTTAACTGTGTGCTTAACATCCACTACGAGAAACCTCTTTGTGTCTCCACAAGCACTTCATAATCTAATTATGTTCTAACGAGGAGTATGTATATCTTGTATACTTGATTCTGCACTGTTTCCAATTTGACTCTGAAACTAATTCTGTTGTTCCCCCTTTCCTGTGACACTCTATTCCTATGTCTTCCTTCCCTGACCCTGACCAACTCGACCTGACCTCTTTGACCTGCCTGCTTTCCCCTTCTCCTTTCTTAGTGTTGTCTCAGCTTGGCTCTGCCGTGAACAGACCTGGGCAAAGCCTTCCTCAGCAGAGACTCCAGCTCTCTTCTGCCTTACAACAGCAACAACAACAAGCCTTGCAGCAGCAGCAGCAACAGATACAAGTAATCCAGCAACTTCACTCTGACTGTGTTTAAAAAAAAAAAAAAAAAAAATTAAAAATACAATTCTCAGCTCCAAAACCAAAAAATCTTGCCCCTTTGACTTTTTTTGTTTTGTTGTTTTTTTTAAACTAATATCTTTATGGTCTCGCAAATGAAAAAAAACATGAATTTGGCAAGCTATATCATGAAAGATTTAAAATCTGTGGTTCTCAGCTTGGAGCACTGAATTTATTTTTATTCACTTAAGCCATCCACCTTCCTGATTTGCTCACATTCAAGGAGTGCTTGTGGCACGTATCTGAATAAGCTCTGCCAGGTGCCAATAGATTTCAAAACAGCCTAAATGTAAGCACCTGCAAGTTCAAATGTAGCACTGCTACAGTCAGTACATGGAAGCAACAGCTCTGGCAAAGCATTCCTTTAGCATTCTGTCATTCAGATGCTTTATGAAAATATCGTAATTTTTTTTAGCACACAGTCTCTTCTTTGTGATACATACAGAAAATACGTACAATGCACGCACTGAGAAGGTATTATGTTAAAAATGTACTGTGTAACCCAAACATTCACTGAAGTTGCTGAGTTACTGCAGTTACTGCAATGGAGAGAAAGGGCAAAGAAATAAAGCTGTCCAAGTACATGTGTAAAGTGTTCCATGTGCCCTCAGCAGGCTTCTGTGCCACTGGTGCTGCTTGACTGTACTCACTGCCCCAGTACATGGTGTGTTCCTTTTGTCAGCCTGGTGCCTCCTCATTTTTTTTTTCTTTTTATCCCCCCCTGCCCCCTTCCTCTCATTCTTCCTGACATGAAACACAGCTTTATAGTCAACACTAACAAGCTTTTTCTCCCCCTTCTTCATGGCAGCAGTTGCGATTCTTGCAGCATCAAATGGCTATGGCGGCAGCAGCAGCAGCACAAGCAGCTCACCTGCGTCATCAACAGCATTCAGGCAGCCACTCAAAAAGTAAAAGAAAAAGAGGCACACCAGCCCCTCCAAACTCCTGAGACTTGCTTCCCACCCACCCACAAAATTGATTTTTTTTTTCAGATTAAAAAGGAGAAAGCTTAACATCAAATCAGTGTTTTATATTACTGGTGGGGAAAATGAACCTTTGACATTACACTGAAATAAATGAACTGGTTCTGGAAGCCAACCCTACAGAACTTAAAGATTTCGTCTGTAAAGCAGCTAGGGTCTGGTTTCCTTAAGTTAAATTTTTTAACAGAATGTTTTATCTTGTATTTTTTACCACTCAGCAGCATTGTACATAGTATAAGGGTGAAAAACATTTTAGAAAAAATGAGCTTTGTAAATGTAGTATTGGTATTTGTTTATTTAGTATAAAAGGTTTGTGAACACTGTAACAAATACAATTTTTACGAATCCATTTTTGAAAAGATCTCTCCTTTTGTTCACTTGGGCTTTATACTTTTTATTACTTTGTCTATCAGCTTCTTCACTTCTTTGTGTCTTGTAACTGCTCTGGTGATACAGTCCTGAAGCTTGGCTCCTGTAAGAGGACTTCCACCTAAAAATTAAAGGGAACAGTTTGATTTTCTACTTAGACTTCAGTTATGTATCTCTAAATGTGTTTTCCAAATGAGAGCATTAAGTAATGTAGTGATTCTTATGACCAACAACTTTCACCTGGGGAGCATACAGCTTCCCCAACTCCAGCCTCAGGCAAAGGAAACAGAAACAAAGGAGAGGTGCTGAAAATCCACCCTTTGCTGTATGTAGGTCAAGCTGGGATTTCTTTTTGCACTCAATCATGCCACATTTTTGAAAATTAATTTCAAGAGCAAGTAATTTAATAAGTACTTAAGCAGACGGTCTGTTACCACACAGCACCCACATTTTACAAAGAAGGTTAAGAAAAGATTATCATCTCTATAGGTTCCTGTGTAATAAACATGGAAGTACCTGGTTTATGGACAGAACATAGTCTGCCTTCATCATCAGTTACAATAGTTACTGTTCCAGTTGCTAAGTCTTCTTCTTCAGCAGTTGGATCAACAATGAGTAATGTGCTTGTGAAAGAAAAACATACACAGACATATTGGTATACATTGCTCCATTAACATTACTGCAAAATACACATAACTTACTAACTCATATTGTAGTCCTACAAAATAGTTGCAGGTGGATTTAGTGCTCAGGCTTATCTGTCTTCTTACCAAAATACACCAATTTAAAAAAAGAAAAAAAAACAAAGAATGGGGGAGATTCCACATATTCAAGTGCATATGTCTGTTAAAACACTAGCTGTTGAAAATACAGCTTTATGCCCAAGTTTCATAGATTTGTGACACCCGTGTATTGCAGGAAAATGCCATTAAACTGCCATGTGCAGTATGCAGTCACTTATTTGGTAGTTACGCAAAGACACTGGCATTGTTTTTAGGTGTAGGCTGCGCTAATCTTTACCAGACCTCAAGGCAAAACTCATTTCCAATGGTAAATTAACCAAAGGAGTTCTCAGGTTCTTGTCAGAGAACTCACTAACACCACTCAGACTGGGAGTCGTTCAGTGATGGATTTACTGGGTTCCTTAAGGCAGCCAAAATAAGCTGTCATAGGTCACATAATGCACATCATTAAAAGAGATTAAATAGTGTTAATTTTGAACCATTTAGTAAGTTAGAGCAAACCAATGGGAAAAAAAAAGGATCTAAACTACAAGCCAACTTTGCACAACAAGAAAAACTTGAACTTAAATCACTGTTCAGCCTTAGTTTCTTTAAAAAATAATAATAATTAAAAAATCACTACCATTACGAACATTTAGCTAAAGTGCAAGTATCATGACAGGAAAGACTTCAGCTGAAGCTTTCATGAAGCCTCAGTTTACACTGGTAAACTAAAATTTAGTATTGATGTCATCAAATTCAATTTAGCAGCTGGAGTACACCTATGCTAAGTGATGTTTATGACAAGTTGAGGGGGAAGTCAGTAGCAAGGCTATAGGAGCCAATATAAAATAGATGGAAGGGTAACAGGCTTTTTCAATTTGAACTCATACAACGCATAATTGAAGGTTTTCTGGGTAATTTAAAGCTTCACCAATAGTTTCAGATTGCCATTTAATAGCAAATGCATAATGAAAACCTAAGTCCTTAGCTACACTACTCAAAAATACTGCTTTAATAATGCTACCCACATCCACTGTGCAGCATCAGCCCTCTGCATGACACCACATGGAGCATTCGATGCATCAGACTTATGATTTATGTACAGGTTGGCTCCATGGGAGCCAGCTGAGGAGCTGCACAATGCTCTGCACCAGTGTTCCTCACCCATGGCTACACTACCCAGCAACCCAGAAGTTTTATTTATTCAAGGAGGGCTCTTGCACAGAAGAAAAATGTCTCTGGAAGCCATTTAAAGCATATTATTTAGAGGGCTGTGTCAACAGCTGTAGAAAAACTAATAAACCAGAACTACAAAAAAACCCAAAACCCAAACCACACAACACAGGCACACACACCCCCTCCATATTTAGTTTTAGGAACTAAAGGGAGATTTAAGTAACTTGTTTGATGCAAGAGTTGGTTTCAGTGAAGGGAAAAAAGCCCAACAGACTGAAAGCTCTATTCCAAAGGCAATTTGTTTGTGTATTGGTAAGTATGGGTGATTTGTGTGCAAATAATATCCTACTGACAACTGTCTAACCACCACGCTGTCCAAACCCTCTCAGTCTACATCAAACTTCAGACCCACAAGAACTGGTATTAAAGCAATTAACAGAAGCACTCTAAAGTACTGATAACTTTCTGCTTTGATTCATTTTGGTAATCACTTGGTCAACATTTGAGTTTGGTGTTCCCCCACTCCATCTCATGTTTGAATGAAGGGGCTTAGTAATCATCTCTGCGAATACAGATTAATGTGCCATAAACCCCTGATGTCTCTAAATACACCTAAATCTTAAATCAGATTCATGGCACAGCAAGCAGCATCTTATTTGTCATTTTCTACTTTTCAAATGGATACCACCATAAATAACTGCATTTCTTACAAACAGCAGCAGAACACATACTTAACGTGCTTGGACTAATGAAAAGCCAGTAAACAATTTCAGGTGAGGAGTCAAGTTATCAGATGTGATTATTCTGAGTTCTCATAATCAGATTCTTTACCTTCATGAACAATCACTTAAGAGTGCTGGTTATACTTCATCTTGGGTAATTATGTTTTCACCTATCCAGAGGTTCTGTTGTTCTAACTAACTAGACCATTACTTCTTTCTTCCTCTGTTGACTAAATCCTTGGTATAAGCTACTCAAAAATTACCATCTTTTCTATCTCTTATTTACCTAGGCTTCTGAAACATTAATTGCATTGGTAACATTCTTTTGTCTCAAAGATGCTGCAAAAGCATAAAACAATACCTATTCCCATACTTTCAAGCATGTTTTTTAGGTTGGGAACCAGTTCTGCTTTAAGTCACAGGAAGAAGTTGGACAGACTTTGTTTTGTTCTGCATGCTCATTCGTACCACAGAACTACAAGTCAGTTCCACAGGAGAGGCCCCGGGTTTGAGATCGAGCGCAGCAGCACAGCCTGAGACTGCGTGCTCTTCACTAGCAGCAGTGCAGAGGAAGCGCAGAAACATCACTGGTAGCATCCTCTGTCCTGCACTTCTTTTACAGACACAGTTGTTTTCATAAGTACAAAACAGTTATGAACTTACTCATCAAATATAGCAAATGACGTGGCAACCGGATGCTTTCTGATAATCAAAGGATTCTTCTGTTTTAAATTAACTTCTGATAAACCAGTTTCTTCATTTATAGTAACTGATGGCAATTGTACTGAAGAGATGAAAAAATGACAATGGTATAATATTATACATTGCAGCTTTTAGTAGGCCTAGAGATGTCCAAGACTACTGAAATATTTAAGCTGATCTTTCAAGCCACTGAAAATCAGTCAGAAGAGAGTTTTGGCTGTATTACTGGTGTTCTGTACAAAAACATTCTTGAATTTGAGGAAAGTATTTAGCTTAGAACTACCCGTCCAAGGAAGTATTTAATTTTTCTCCTCAAGGTAACATTCTTCCTTACACAGAACCGTTTTCTGTTTCCAAAATGCCATACAATTACAATACTTTAGATTCATATTTAACAAAAAGTATTTTTTCCACCAAAAGCCTACTGGACATACAAAAAACCAGGAATATGGTCTCATCTCATGAATTTTATATATCCACAGAAACAGTGCAACCTGATCTTCAGATAACTCTTGCTCTGACAACCCATACAGTGTTGGAGACAGGAAAATCAAGAGCAAAGTAGCTATAGGAATTAAAAGGCAAGCAAATCACAGTTAGAAAAGCAGGCGTTGCTGTAAGCTTCCCTTACCACCTCCTATGTGCATTTATAACCCACACACCTGTGAATAATCAATCCGTATCTTGCATGCATGAAAACAGTTTTTTCAAACTATAATGCATTAAGCTAGAAATATTCTCTTGTGACAAATACGCAAAGCCCCCCAACAACTTATTCTGCCTACGCAAAATACATTAACAAGGTAAGACCCTGATCTAGGCATTGAAGTCATTTACAACCACTGCCGCGAGGTTCAGATCTCTGACACAGAAGAACACATGGCAGAAGAGCTATGAGTCTTATAAGAGAGCAATAACATGCATACAAAAAGATCCCACTCCCCAGGTGTTACACATCTATGGCATCCATACCATCATTGCCACTTCATATTTGCGTTTTAGTAATTCAGCATTCAAATGACAGGAAAAAAGCAGTCTTAGGGAATTGTGAACCAGCTACCTATTCGTTACAATTCAAAACTAACATATTTCTCCAAGCAACACTAATCAGAGCATGTCTCTTGCTCTAGGGAAGACTTACCATTTTTTAATGCTGCTAACAAAGCAAAGGCACTGGCATCCAAAATGTTTCCATCATAGTCCAGACATATGATATCACAGTATAACACCCAAGCAAGCTATCAAAAAAGGTTTGCATGTGTGAGATATTTCAGCAGGTAAGCAAATGGCGCAATATCTAAGAAAACGCTCGGCACGTGAACAAAGATACTTATTTCTATCATACGATTTTTACATTTCAGATGTAAACTAAGCTATGAAGACTAAAAAGCAAAAACAACAACAAAACAATGTATAGCCCCAAATACCTTCTTTAACGTCTCAACATTGTGATCTTGTTAGCATGTCCATCTTCAGTTTGAGATACAACTTACCTTGCCATTTGCAACACACAGATCTTCTTTCGCTATTATCTGTGAACTAAAATAAAATGAGAGAGTAAACCAGGAAATAGAAAACTGTCTTGCAGCGCTGTCTGTGTTTTAAATGCATTAAGATGATTCTTACTTTTCAATCACATCTGCAATGAACTGG